GGCACCCCCGGGCTGCGGCGCTGCCAGCGCGGCAGGCGGTGCCGTGAGGGCGTGGAGGTGCGGGAGGGCCCTGCCCTGCTCGGCCGGTGCTCGGAGGTGCCAATCGCCAGGGGGTCCTGAGCCTTCCTCGGCTCATCCCGAAGCAGATGAGATTCCTCAGGCTCCCTTGATGTTTCAGGAGAATGTGTTTTGCTTTGTAGCAATTGTTTCATTGTTGTAGTTAATAAATTATCCGCTCCTAGAAATCTGTAACCCTCCTCCATCTGGATACGTTCGTGCCTAGAGATCATTTCACCTGTCTGCTGCCACACGCTGCTGTAACGTGTGAGATCATGCTGGGTGTTAGCTTGGAACAGGTCTTTGGTTAGAGAAAGCTGTTGTTTTAAGATATGTTAAGCACCCAAATTCTTGAATTTGTAGAGAATTGAAGGTATTTTGCATTTTTTAAATAAATATGAGCACTGTTGTTCTCTGCTATACCCTGTTAAGAATTGGGTATGTTTAATTTGTAATAAAGTAATACATGCGTGTATCAGCTTGTTGTTCATTCTACTATAGCAAAGGTGTGTTACAAAAACACATACTCAATGGTATTTTCCTGCAGAAACTCCTAGTAATCTAGTTTTTCACAGACTTGACATATTTAAGTCTTTGTTTTGTGAGTTAATATCAAGAGACTAATTCCTTCTGAGGCCAGAATAGTGCTTCTTGGTCCTTGTATTCTGCTGTTCATTCACTTGTTTTAATGAAAAAAGGTCAAGTGAATCACTTTAGTGACTACACAACTGCGTGTGCACATTTAAGTTATTAATACTACTTAGTGCTTTAAAGCTTCCTGCATATTTTTCTTGTAATTGGATTTAATATAGCACTTTACCTTCCAAATAACTCTACTGCCTTTTGTATTTTAACTTGAGAAAGAAAATGTAGTTTTCTAAGACATCTAAATCAGATGGCCCATGTTGATGACCTCCTTGAGTGAAAGCTTGTGAGCGCCTGCCTGTCTGTCACCCGTGTGGGAACAAGCGCTTTTCACCATGTGAGAATGGCAGTTCCTCTCCCAGGAGGCCTGGTCGTGCTGAGTGCCCGTGGGGTTTTATAGCAAGGATTTATTTCCTCTGAACTTGGCTGAGCACCAAATAGAGAACAGGATTAGGGGACAGATTTGGTGTCTTTTGGGATCCTTTCCAGTTACATCTTTTGTAAAGGTACAAGTGCAGCTCGTTCAGAGCCAGGAACTGTGTGTGCTGATAGCTGTTGTACTGCTGCTGAGCTGGAGTTAGAGATTGTGGAAAAGCTCCACAGCTCTCAGTTTGGAGGGCTGTTAGACCTTTCTCTTTTCTCTCTGTCTTTGCCCTACCATTCTCAGCTGAGCAGTTCATCTTATTTTTCACAACAGGGATAATGTGGAATGGTCAGAAGAGCAGGAAGCCAGTGCCAGGAGTAAAGTTCAAGAGAACAGCTCACAGCTATTGCCACAAGATAAACAAGGTACTTTTGGATAGTCCAATGCTGTCTTGACTTGTCCATACAAGAGTGGAAGAGTCTGACCAGAGCTATATATGCATCATCATTTATTCCTCCCTTTCACCCTCTCCCAAATCGTTCCAACTACATTACCTAGTTGTTGCTAATGAAAAATGAAGGAGGAGGAATCTTTCTGTTCTTAATTTACCTCTCTGTGACTTTTCCACCTTCTCCAAAGGCTCATCCTACTGCAACAGAAATGGTCTTGGTTGGGAGGAGTCATCTTGGGTTGAGCTGCTTTGTTCATGTCGTGTATGTTTAAATACTGGTTAGTGTTCGTTGTCAACAAACGTCTCTCATTGTAGTGTTACTGCCTCTGCTTGATTTTGCTCTCTAAAGCTTAACTACTCGCAGTCAATCTTTCCTTTGCTTGCATGCTGTGGAGCTGTTCCTAATTCAATCCCGTTTGTCTCTTAAGAGGGTCTAATAAAGCCGCATCCATATCTGTCTCTACCAAATTAACGAACAGCATGATACCGATTAAATCAGAAGCGAAGGAAAATGATTTCATCCTGATTGAAGTGTTTATCATCAGAGAGGCAGAAAAGCGATTCCAAATTTTTATTTTCCTCAAGCTTCGCTTAGAGGATATTTATACGTCCAAAAGGCAAAGCTTACCTGCATCGGAATCGAGCTAAAGGTGCACAGCTCTGGGGTCAAGTGATACGGTTGAAGCTCTTCTTGGTTAAGAAAGCATCTTCCCCCCACACCTGTTAGATACCAGCCAGTCCCTTAAGCGATGGTGAAATGGCTTCCTGTTCTCTGGTATGATAAGAGACTTGTTTGATGGTGATCTTGTTCTACCCTGCCGAGCTCTAGGATGGATCTGCTGCTTTTGTTCGAATTAAATTGAGTGTGTCATCTGTAAGGCGACGCTGAACGCTATTGGAGCTATTGAGACACTTCCCATATAGCTTCCAGTTGTGTTCACAATAACAAATTTAATTATACCAAAGAGCAACCTCCTAATTCCTCGGGTTCCCAGAAGTATCCAGCAGTTTCTATTGTGATGCCCATTGTGCTGAGTTCATTTTACAATCTGGTTAACATTAAAGGATGCTGTCTGTCATGCTTTGAGAACCTATATACAACTATGAAATTGTGGAGCAATTTGCTGTTAGAGCAGTTTGTCAGGTCTTCATGATGTATTTCCCAGACTGAACAATGGAGGCCAGTCAAATTTTGATGGTTGCTATTCAGTGGGAAGCGTGTGGAGACAATGGGATGGCTGAAGCACAGGGAAGCCAGCCCAGCCAAATGTGCCTGAAGGGTCTCGTATTTTGAGAATCAGTAATGTCCAAGCAGGAGAACAAAGGCAGGCTATTGGTCATTATGGCTGTATTATTCTGTGGACTTCTTGGGGCTGTCAGAATTTGTTCCGAAGAAGAGAAGTTCTATGGGGTATGTCGAAGATGTGTCTTCTGGCTGGGAACAAAGAAAGAAGTGGAAGAGTTTCTTGGTTTCCTTTTGAGGCTCCATAATTAGCCCCCATGCAATTCAGGGGGGCCCTGGTTCTCTTCCTGTCTTTTGTGAACAGTTACTTTTGTTTGCCCTTCTTCTACAATGGGAAAGGGTGAGTATGGGCTTGGCTTTGGGGGTGTCCTTACAAAGATGAGCAGAAAAGTCAGGAGTCCTTATCAAGAAAGTCTCTGGAGGGATCTGGCTTGCACGCCGACGTCCCCGTGAGCTAATATCACAAAAGGGATCTTGAAGCAAGTATTGTGTGAACTTTTCTGGCATAAGTTGTGCAGGAGGTCAGACTGAAAAACTAATATGGTCATTTTTGCGCTTTAAATCTCTTTCTTGCATGATCTTTGTCAGCTGGCCCTTGATTTCTTGCATTTATATTGTAACTGATCCTTTACTCAGTGCTTTGAAAACACTAGACTACAAGGTGAATGAGCTTGAAATAAAGTTTCCACACACGTGGGTCAGTGTATAACAGCTGTTCAACAGCATCCAACAGAATTTCACAATAATTTAACACAGGAGGAGCACAGTGTCTTGTTCAGCATTATACTGTGGCAAAAATGTGGGTAATCCGAAATGACTGGGCTGGAATTTTGCCCCAGCACCTTGGGTAAGCATCCCTTTCCAGTCAGGCTGTCATGGGATTGTTAGAGAAAACAGGAATCAGGACTTTCTGTTTTTGTTAGGTGAAAGAGCATTTCCAGCCCTAGCAGCCTTGCATATCCCTACTAGTACAGAGAAAAAGTGACAATTCAGGAAGGAGCGTGCCAGGGTATGAATCAGTAGCACTTCTTCCTCGGACATTAGCAGTCATTGAGTTCTCCTGTGCAAACAGTAAACTGACTTGACCCTGCTTACTTGGAGCTACGGTGAGCTCATGGCACAAACTTACTGCCTTAGTCTGGTACCAGATATTAAAATTTCTTTTGGCTTGGGGTTTAAGGACAAGGCTTCTTAAAAGGAGAAAATACTTGTAGTTGAGGTAAAGAGATTATTTATATACGTAGCTCTTTGTGTTTCAGGGATAGATCCTACTAAAAATATACATACAACTGACTTCTAGTTCTTTGCCAAAGCCAATTTTGTCTATATTTGGCTGAGGTTACATGTTTTTCCAGGTGTTCTTGGTTCCTTTTACTGTCTCCCTTCAGATATCTTCTAAACACTCGCATGCTTTTCAGAAAGACTAATAAATAAACTGCAGTTCAGATAATAACACTGATCTCCAATTTTAAGATGCCTGCTTTCTCTCTTAACCCTACTCTTAGTAGTTGTTGGAGAGGGCTGCCCATTCTCACGTACCGTCATCACCTTCAGTTGTGGGAGAATCATTTGCACTCAGTGGTGCGCTGTTGTGTGCAAAGATGGCTCAGGAGTTGCATGTTACTGAAATGCAGGTGGGATCTCTGGAGGTGGATGTTAATGCCTCTGGGCGATTACAAGCATGGGGTGTGTTCATTAGCTTTTGCTTCCCAGGACACAGAACTCATCACATCGGTGAGAATTCAGGAAGCTGGTTGGATTCGTAACTTTCCATGGAAAAAAATAGTTCCCCTAGAACCTTATTTGATCTGAAATCTGTGAAGGTGTGTGGATAGAATTCTGTGGGTGACTTGAATTCCATTAGATCATGGCTTTGTAAGAGTTCTTCCAGCTTTCTGTGATACTCATCTTGCTGCTGGAGTGTATCCACTTGGTGTGAAAATGAAAATGCTTGCTTTTTAAAGTTAATTCCTAACATCTATCCACCTTAGCTCTCCACTATTACTTCAATGACTGGTCACTTCTGTTGATTCCACTCTTTTGTTTTAATTTCATAAACACGTGATGCTCTGACATGCATAGAACTATGGAAAGCAAAGTGCTGTAGGCTGGACTCTACCAATACTTGTGTGAAACATGCTGTCCTGTAATCTTGGAGTATTGCAGAAATGCTAATTGAGCTCTCTGCCAGGCCTGTATAGTTGACTAATTTTTCTGTTTCTCCATCTGAAAAAAGGGGTGGCGTGTTGGACAGGAGCTCTTCAGCCCCAGGCAACTGTCACAGAATTCCTTAGAAGCTGTAAGTGCTTGACACCATGAGGCTCCAAATGAATTGTTCCAGTGAACTGAACAAGTTAGTGTTATAGATGGAAGGAAAACCTGGATTTCTGCATTCCAGTCTCCTTCAAAGAAGCCTTTTCTGTTGCCAGTTTCCTTTAAATCCTACCAGGAGATGGCTTCCTCTTCTATCTCTTTTCCCTTTTTTAGTCCTAAGAAAGTGACTGTCAGGAGGCAGGCTGAGTGCTTATGTGCGATGGCACAACTTAAATAAAGGTGATTTTCAGTCAATAACCGTACTTATTAAAGCAGATTGCTGAATAGATGTCTGCAGTGATCCCTCACTGTGTGAACTGATTAAATTCAGAGACCTTCTGATTTGACTGCTGGTGATGTTTTTGTTTGTGTTCACAGAGGAATACGAGGTGAATGCTAAGAGGTACTGGGATGACTTTTATAAAGTCCATGAAAATGGCTTCTTCAAGGACAGGCACTGGCTGTTCACTGAATTTCCTGAGCTGGCACCTAACAGGAAACCAAGTCAAAATGGGGATTCTGTGCAGGAATTTAGTAACAAAGAAGAATTGAACAATGAAGGGCTGGGAAGTTGTGAAAATGGACATTGTTCATTGGAAACCAGGGCAGAGAATCAGTTAAACCTGATAAAAAGCACACCCAAGATCTGCACAGAGGAGCTGGCTACACAGAAGTATAGGGAGCTGAATCAAAGTGACGGAGATTACCCAGGATCTGCTGCATCTTACCGTATCTTAGAGGTAATAGCTGTAAAACAGTGTCACACATCAAGCAGTCCCTTGTATCAGTGTTAGTGTGACTGGGACATAAAAATATATATCATTGGCAAACAGCAAGTGAATGGGATGATTGCCTTAAGTCAGTAAAATGCAAAAACCAGAGGGCAGCTTAGAACTGAATTGAATCTGTCGGGATTCTTTTGCTTCAGTCTGTGGATTGGCAGAGCACAAGGACCGTAAGAAGTTTCCGAGTTTAAAAGACAAACTATTACTATTAGATGTTGAAACAAGCATTTAAAAGTCATCTTTTGAAGAAGCTGATTATTTTACTTGTCTGTTTAAAGCTTTCCCTTGTATGTTTTGCATGTTTGTGCTGACTCTTGTTTGCCTTGGGAGGTGTGAAACAAAGCAATGAAACCGAGAATGTAAAGGTGCTGTTTGGTTTGTTCCTTATGGCCCGTGTAATAACAGGGAATCTCAGACTGATACAGGGTTTGTCCCAGAAGAGCCTGTAGGACGTGTAAGTATTGGACTCCTGACAGCTGGTAATGACCCTTTGCTCTGCCACCTCTGGTTTGTTCACTGCGGATACCGCTGGTTTCGTTGAAGGCTTCGTGTTCTATGGAAGTTCTGCCCTTCCAGGGAGAGTCAATATGACTGTCCTTGTGATTTTTTTAATTTAATCTGAGGCTTTGAGACTTCCTCAGACTTTGATGTCCTTGGGTCATTGTGGCTTTCCTGTCTCACCTGAGTGCTTTCAGTAATATCTGTCACTGCAAGCCATCAGTGTTGTTTTCTGTTCAGTCTGTTTCAATTTTACTGATTCCTTAAACATTCAGAGGCAAATTCCCCAAACCCAGTTGTGTGAGCCATCTTCTCTTCAAATGGGAACAAGCAGAAGGAATAATAAGGCAGAATCAGTGTAGGCCTAGCTGTAACTTGAGGAAGAGCCATCTAGCGAAGGAAACCCTGAAACAGCAGGATGTAATTATAGTAAAGCAAACTTCTTTCTCCATTGCTCTGATTTTCTATGGAAGTAAATGCAACTAATCCATGGCCTTTGCCAGTGCTTCAGTGACTCATACTGGTTGTTATGCTTGGGATTCCAGCAATAACAGTTTTCAGAGAGTAACAATATGTAGCTTGTTAGTAAGATTTCTGCGAGAACTGGCCTAGTGGTTTACCACAACTGCTTACATGTAGGCCTGCTCCTCAGAGCTGAACATACTCAGATCTTGCAGTGAGATTTGCAAATGGTCACTGCTGTGCTCCGTTGTAGCTTATGAGTTGCTCTTTGTTCCATGGCTGCAGAGAGATGATTTGAAATGAGCTGCATGCAACATGCTGAAGAAATTGTTTTCACTGTGTGAACATCTGCTTTGCTTGTGCAGGTTGGCTGTGGTGCTGGAAATACAGTCTTCCCAATTTTACAAACCAACAAGTAAGTAGTTCTCAGTAGGGTTTTACCTGCATGATATACCGGCCTCTGAAAAACGATTGGAAAAGTGTTGCATGTGATCTTAGTTTAGACAAGCTCAGAGAAAGGCCAGAAGCAAGTGCCATCTGCGACTTCAAATGATCGTGTTTTGAGCTTAGGAATCTTTGGTCTTAGAATGCAACCCACAAAACACGGTGTAAGTTTACGTGTCTCGCTCTGAAAGCATTTTCATACAGGCCATAGTATCTCTCCTTTTCCGGAAGGAAAAGTAAGCCGTTGGTTCCATATGAGAATAACTGAGCCATAAAGGAGCAACGTGATCCACCAGATTTTGCACGAGGCATTATTGACAGAGACAGACTAAAGCCCAGGATTTCTGGCACCCAGGTCTGTTCTCTGTGCATTTGAAACACTTGTGTGATTCCTGTGGAGCACCTTTATGTAAATGATGATAGTTTCTTTTATTTATTTCAGTGACCCAGGCCTTTTTGTGTATTGCTGTGATTTTTCTACAACAGCCGTGGATCTTGTCCAGGTAAACTCAGTGCTGACTTACGAAGGTAGGAAGTACACGGTGGCAGCTGCACGTTAACACAAATACAGCACAGCTGCCTCCGGCTGTCTGGCTACGTTGGCAGCTTTCTGGTTTCAGCTAGCCCTGGTGCTGACCCTTGTACTGGTAAATCAGGAGAAGGAGCCATCAAAGACTGTAGAAATTAGGGAAGCTGGAGTTCTCAAAATGTCATGCTGGCAGCAGACAAGTCAGCCAGATTTTCTTTCCCCTGTGGTCGGAAGTACTTTTCTAAATCCAGTGCTCTTTTAGCTGA